GGAGAAAAGGGCCCAAACACTGTAACTTCACTGGACAGCTGTTTGGCTTATACCTATGTAGATTACTTAATGTTCAATCAAGCACACAAATTGGTTTTGAAAGTAAATCTGTGGGACAGTAAAAGGACCAAAAGAGCTGAAATGAGAAGCAGAGACTGAACAAGCACGTAATGCTTACTGGCAGGAGAGCAGAGTGTACAAAAAGTGACGCAAAGTGACAAAGTCTCCACGGCTCCTACTGTTTACAGCACTACCGCGTTCCTCTCATCTCCACCATTAATTTCTCTCGCCCTTCACAGACCTTCAAACAGCATGAAATGAGTTTCAGCGCGAACGACTCCTTAGCGGGCCATAGCAGCATGTTATGAGGGGTTATGATACCTGTAAATCTTCAGATATGCAGACCGTTGGCCAAAGAAATTTGCTGCGGAATTCTCACCCGTTCCCATTTAATGATGGTTGCCGTTAAAGGACTGACGCCTCTGTAAATATATATGAGCTCTGTTTGAAGTGGACTAGAGGAAAAGTAATATAAAAGCAAACTATCTGACCATAAACTGGACTATACCCTCACTCTTTAGGGAAAGAGGTTAAATGATTGTTTTCAGAGGAAATAAGCCACAGAATCAAGATCTAGATTGAAGTATTTATCCAGTAATTTAAAAGAAAACTCCTTGAGCTTTATTTATTGTCCTACTTATTAGGTAATTTAGTGTTGGTAGATTGACATCAATGTAGTCATGTTAAAGTAATTCACATAGAATAAGATTCTGTATTCCTCAACTGCACGTGTTAAATTACGTATTAGAGTGGATCAACGCCCTTGTGGTTTGAGAAGTTGTCCCGAGTAGCCTCATTCAGAGAGAGATTTTATTACTGCTGTGCTGCCTTTAGGAACAGTGACATCATGTGGCTTGGAGGACTAATAAGCTCACCCATTTAAAACTCTTGGTTGGACTTCATGCTGCCCTCCCACCCAAGTGCTAGTTAGCCAAGTTCTGTTCCTCTCCATGGACAACATAGTCACACACAAATGTTGAGATGCATAAGCAAAATGGCTAAACCTAGTGATATTCCCTCATTCACACTGCACACTTGTAATACACAACACAATCCATCAATCTGTTGTTTTAGTCTCAGGCAGCATGATTGATTCAGTATTTGATTTCTTATATCTGATTGGTATGAGGTTACACCGGACAGACGTCTGATGTGGTACATATGCGGTCTTATCCAGCCAGGTGTCTTTGCCTAAGCCGTGGCTATTTCTGCTAATCGGCATTCCCTTATTCCTGTACAGTAATCGTCCGTTAGCAAACATGTGTTCTCAATCTGCAGCCCAGGGGGATGATGTAAGTGGTGGGGTGATAAATCTTGCTGGAGCCGATCGGAGGCAGGACAAACTGGCCGTGCTGCTACGGCGATTGCCGTATTGACCCCACATGCTGAAACTCTTATATCTGCGTGCTACAATGTTTCCGGTGTTCAAAACAAATCCACACAGCTTCCCAAGCTTCCTCCTAGATTACAGCCAAACCTTGCGGGACTCTAGGCTCTGTCTGTGGCAATCGGAGAAGCCGCACTGACTGAGTGTAGCTTGTATGGCATGAGGGGTAACATGACCCTCTGTAGGGGGCTGCTAATACAAGACCTCACCAGCCAGCCCACATTTGTACATTTACATGTATTCATTTAACAAATGCTTTATCCAGAATGACTTGCAAGATGTGGAAACGGTGGGAGCCAAACTGATACAAACTACTGGGAGAATCTACAAGGAGTCATGACCTAGAAAACGAGAGCCTTATCATAGTTTGCTTGGTGTAATCTACTATGAATGTAATCAAAAGGTTTTTTTCTTTCCTCTTAAGCAAATAAAGAACACGAATGTTAACTGAAGAGACTCCAAATGCATAAACTGCATTCAAGGTTTGAATGTGCTTCCCAAAGTACTGTTGAGTACTGAGTGAACAGTACACCATACAAGAAAAACATTGTTTCCTATTCTTGTGTGCACTTTCTGCTTCTCACAATCCAAGTAATTAAACACTTTCAGTGATGTTGAGGTCTGGACTCTGGGGTGGTCAGTCCATTGTTCTGAGAACACCAGCACCTTCTTTGATTTGCAAATTTTCTTATTTTTTGTCTTATTCCTTTTCTCAGTGAGGTTCTTCTTGACAGCTACAAATCCTTTCAGACCCACAGCGCTGAGTCGTCTTCTCACAGTGGAAGGATGGACAGAAACACCTGTGGATGTTTTCAGATCTGAAGCAGCTTGATTTTCTTCTCTCTCAAAGATGAAAGCTTTAAGTGCTGTTTATCTGATGGGGGCAGTTTTGGGGTCTGCCAGCTCTTCCAGGTGGTTGTTGGGAGTCACTTGATTTCTCAACATCCTTTATAATTTTTTTTTTAACTCCAGTTTTAGAAACTTTAGTTTTTTCCCCCTTTCCTTAGACTTTTTCCGTCCTGGGCAAGTGGATTATCTACTCTCCTCAGAAATATTTCCAAAAAAAGAATGACTTGCAATTAGAGGCCATTTTGACTGGAAATTAATAAAAAGAATGTTTTTTTAACAAAATATTGTATATATTAAGAGCAAAGCTGGTCCTGGCTCAGCCACCACCCTTTAGACGCTTGGCTTTGATTCCTCACAGACCAGTCAGGACGAAAGCAGTGGTATTCCACTGCCCCTTAGTGACAGATGGTTCTTTTTGGACTGCTTTTCCAGAACTATGGCAGCTTGATGGAAAGCATTTTCCCCTTACTGACATTTAACCTTTTGCCATTTTGCTGAATCCATTCACATGCATTTCCAAATAATCAAAAGTCAGTTCCCTATACAGTGATGAGTCGTAGCAGGCCCAAACAAGACTGTGTTGCTGCTGAAGTGTAAATTTAGGAGGAGGAAAGGGTCACACAGTAGACAATGAGTGAGAAAGAGACAGAGAGGGAGAGAGAGAGGGAGAGAAAGAGCCAAAGTTACTGCACTGCAGGGACATTTGGGAATGAACTTATTGTCCAGGACACCAGGATTTCATCCAAAAGTCCACAATCATAAAACAGCAGATACATTTAGCAAGGGAGAAAGGAGTCACCAAGGAGTCACCAAAAAAAGACAGAAAAGGCACATTTCCCCCCCCCCAACCCAAAACGTGACAGGGGTGGGGTGTGACAAAGACGGAGACAGAGAAAACGAAAGGGATGAAGAGGGTAGGACACAAGGGAGAAAGTGTATAGCAAACAAAGGCCTAGAAGAGGAAGGAGAATGTGACGGCCAGAATGAGAGAGGGGTGACAAGAGAGGGAGAGCAAGGAAAAAGGAGGAGAATGAGAAAAGAGGGAGAGAAAGAAAGACATAAATGCAGGAATATTTGTCTAGAACGGAAGAGATACAGATGTGGGATGCTTGTTGCTAGGGGAGGCGTAAACATCGTCAAAAACAATATGCTGGCCAGAGGAATGACCTCATAGACCAGCAGCTGGGACATGCAGATGAAAAGTTGAGGAGATGTAGAGTGATGGAGAGAGAGAAAAAGAGCAAAATAAAAGAGAAGAGGGAAAGAAAGATTGTATCCTATTTATCGGAAAATAGCAAGGTGCCGCTAGGCTCTCACCTGGGTCTAGTCATGTTTACGAATGAACCTATGTCAAAAACAGAACCAGAGCTGGAGAACACCCCCAGTTTCGTGCAGTGTATTTTTTATGGCCTTTAAAATCCTGGAAAGTGGGCTTTCCAGTGTATAAAACGAATAATGACAACTTAATATTTCTCTCACTGTAAGGCCCTGTGCTAAAACTACTGGCAAGCTTTATGGAGCGGAATGCAATGACTTGGTCATGGGAAATTCAGATTCATTTGCAGTTTTGTAGCGTTATGCTGACAGGTGTAATAACGCCAAGCTAAATGAATCACGCAAGCAAAATTCAATTTCCGACCCCCAAGGTTACATGGTCTTTGCCATTCCTATCCAGGGTCTGATTACATGAATCCATGTCTACTAGGTTCTGTATCTCATCTTGCACAGTTAATTAGATGCAAAACATCAGTAAAACAAGTCTGAAAATGAGCCTGACTCTCCCCACAGTGTGGTCACACACAACTTCCATGTGCTGCAAGTTTAACAGCATAGTTGCTGAGTGTGGTGGTGTGATCCTCTGAGGTCCATAAATTACGTTTGCAGTGACTCATTTTGTGTTTGGCCAGTTAGATGTTTAACAAACATCTCAGAAAAAAAGGCAGAGTGTGACAGGTCTGACTCAAGACCTCGCCTGCTGGACAGGCAGCGTTACTGCCCCATGTGCATTCTACAACCAAGCAGCATGAGTTTTTTCACAGTTCATGACAAGGATGTGTAACAATGAATCATGATAATGTACAATAAATCACAAAGCTTCACCCATTTGTTGTTCATCTCGTAGATTAACAGAAAAAACAACAGCATAGCAGGATCTCAGGATATTGTGGCATCAGTGCAAAGTAAGACACGATTTCCACTTTGAGAAGTGCTCATTATTGAACGCCAGGTAGAGAAGAACATACAAAGCACTGAAGTCGCGAGCCTCAGGCTTCACCCTCATGGTGACCATACATCTTCACATTAACAAACAAAGACATTTAAACATCATTAAACCCTTTTCACTAGGTTGTGCACCTACCCTGAGTCTCTGCATGGCCACGCCTCTTGTAGGCAGAAACAGCCAGTAGTGGTCACTACAATATTAACATTTGTTTCTTCATTCTTTGCTTTGAAGGATTAGTTTGAATAAAAATCTAATTTACAGGATTTTACTTATCCCAAATGCAGTTAATCAGCCAAGATGTTTGCTGTCAACATTTTGCTTCCTTAGTTTTGAACTGGATGTTTCTAGAGAAGCTAATGTAGGTACAAAAGCTAAACGAGAGCACTCCAAAAATCAAAACAATGTCCAATTACGAATTTGAGGACCACGGTTTCTGCACAAATTAGCCTCAGCCATGTATGTTTGAACCTGAATGTGCACATGAAGAAATGCACCAATTGGATGCAGGACCCAACAGCCACTCCCCTGGACCTCACGCACCTCAATATAACTGCTGAAGACAGGGAAAAAGTAAACTTGACAGCTGCACTGCAACACCTGATTTTCGTAGGTTTATTGTTATTCAAAATGCAACTGTCCTTCAGTAAGCAAGCCTTAATTGTTACTGTACTAATGCCACATACCTGCGTATGGACGTTTTGCAACTCACTCCTGCACAACATCCTCCCAGAAGTTGAACGTGCAATAGTACCAGAAAGCAGGACGTTATGTGGAAGATAATGTAGTTCCAATTTTAGCTTATTGGGCCTATCCATGTCATTTTTTTTCAAAACGAGTTTGCGTAGCTTATCAATGTAATTAGAAGCAAATACAGGTACATTTTTGCATGTATTTGTGGAAATAGTTTTGGTACCCTTTTACTTTAAGTGTTTGTTTGCACTGTTAGCCTGGCAGCTCCAGTTTTAAACAAAAAAAGCAAAAGGACGCCAAACATGTCTTGGCTGATCGACTGCATTTAGGGTAAGTGGAAAATCATGAAAATTCGATTTTTAACACTTATTTCTCAATGCCTTGCAGAAAGAGAGTGATCAGAAAATCACATCCAAAGTGAGTGGAACACTGACCACCTACACCCAGGTTGGCCTGGCCGCGGGGCAGCAATACACAGTGACCATTGTCGGAGAGACGGATGGCAAGACAGGAACAGAGAGCATGGCAGAGTTCCAAACCTGTGAGTCCAAATAAAGGACCTCATCTTTACTTTTATTTTTTAAATCTATATAGCATGTTTATAATTCATGTAACAATAAGTGTTTATTTTCCATCACATTTTTGTTTTAAGCTGGATGTACAATACACAACTTTGAAAATCCTTACAGATTTAAAAAATGGAAAGCACCCAACACTTACCAAGTCTTTTACAGAATTTCCTGCATGTTGATGAGGATGAACACACAATACAATAATAGAGGGTACCACAAAGATTGACTTGCAGCAGCAAAAAAGAACTAAAAACCGCAAATCTCTCCTATTATCACTTACTTCCTTTACTTTAAAACTTTATTTATCCCATAGAGCAATTCAGATGGCAAGCTTAGAACATACACACGTTATAAACGCAGCAGACCATGTCACAACAATCATTTATCACTCAGTCCTTCAGTAGTCCTTAATAATCCATGTTCATGGAAATACAACCACTGTTTAGGAGGTCCAAAAGTTCGGTACAAAAGTCAGCCTCCTTTGCACAGTTCTGGCCTAAAGTAAGCCATCCGAAAGAAGAATGCAGAACGTGAACAGGTCTTTCAGAATGTCATTTGTTAGAGAATAAAAACAACAAATAAAAGAAATCGAAATCATACCAAAAGGTCACTCCTTACTCCAAAGGACTTCATCATCCGTAGAAGATACTGCCTCTGAAGGCACCCTCAACTATCATGTTAGTATTCAATACGTGAGTCCAACTGGAACCAAACCTGTCGATGCTTTTATGCACATACAAAAAGCTTCGTGAAAACACAAACCATGGATGAATATGTGGTTAAGAAACAGATATTACACTGACTGTTTGCCTGTGTTCAACAAGCAGCTCCACTGTCTCCTAGGTCTGCTAAACCTGCGCTGTGCATACACGTCTCTTCACCTCATTATCCTATCTCCTGGCTCTCTCATTGGTTTTTGTCGGAATTAAAACCTGTGAATGTTTTGAGTCATAAAAATCAAACATGTTTCGGGAGGCCTCCAAATCACAGAGGGCTAAAGATTGACTTGTTTCCCCTCTTACACTATGAGATAATCTGTGCCATCAATCGCTTCTTATCAAGCTTTTTATTGGAAACCTTCACAACCTTTCACAACCTTCAGATTGTAAAAAATCATCAGAAGTAGCAAATCTAGGTAGAATCATGTATTATAGGCCCAGCTTTAGCTGTCAGACTAAAAAACATTCAAATTTTAGTCTAACCTTCTTCAAAACAACAACTAAACACATTTCAGCCTATCCATATCACTGGTTTGGTGAGACAGTTACATAAAATTAAAAATACTTTGCCTTAACTCCACTTAACATTCCTGTAGATTTTAGTTTTGTCATATTTTAGTTAATGTCAAGTCAATTAATCAGATTGCTTTTATCTTTAGCCTTTTCATCAAGTTTTCATCTTTGTCATCAATGGAAATCATGCCAGAGACAAAGATAATCGTTTTTTTGACAACATCAAAAATGAAATGAATTATCATGGAAATATTTCCTGGTTAACTGGACAAAATGGCCCAAAAAATCAAAGTTGTATAATAGCAATGCACCTTAACATTTCCCCTATTAGACAATCTCTATTCCTGACCTTTCCTCTCTCTATAAAATCTCAACAGCAACTACAACTGAAAGTACCATATTTCTTTCTCAGTGATCTCCGGCCCCACAGACCTCCAAGTTGTGAAGAGAAGCACAACATCTGTTATTGTTCAATGGGAGCAAGCACTGGGGGAGATAGACAGATACATCCTCCTCGTATCACCCAATCAGACGGATGGATCAGGCAGGGGAAGTCAAGAGATGAAGCTGCCACCTGAGAGAGACTCTGCCCAAATTGATGGTCTGGAACCTGGTCGTTTGTATGACATCTCTCTGGTTGCAGAAAAGGACGGTGCACAGAGCCTGCCAGCAACTGTGCAGGCAACTCCTGGTAAGTACTGATAGGAGAACAGTACAAATTTCTCATTCGAGACATTACAGGTTCCTGAGGGATTGATTGTGAAGAAGGTTTTCCTCCCAGTTTCCTGGACACTAAGGAGTTTCACCACTGGATTCCAAGACAAATCTAAACCCTTCTTTTAATTCCACAGATTACAAATGGATCTACTTTCGTAAACACTACATCATTGCCTCTGCATAAGCCCTTCTGGAGAAGAGATTTTAAGATGTGAGACTCTCACTGACAGAAAGTCAAGCTAATTATCATTAATAGTGATGCTATTTCTGTGGCTATTTATTGATTCATGTAAAAGTGATCCATATGAAATTTATCAAAATGATTACTGTAAGAACGCTTTGAAAGATACTAACAGAAATGAAATAAAAGCTTTTGCGGGTTTAAAAGTTAAAGTTCTTCATTGTATTGTAGGCAACAAACTGTGACTGGTGAGACTGGTGAGACCAGCCACTATCTGATGTGACACTTCATCAGAATAATTCTCATTTAACTGTTTAACTTCATCCAAAAATCATGACTGTCTAAGCGAGGGAAAAGGTGAGGGGCGTCCCCTGACCAGGGTGGTCAAATCTTATTGGCAAAGGAACAGTGTGGCTGCAGAATTTCACACATGATCAGCTGTTTAAAGACTGATACCAACTGATTTAACCAGTAGCATCAGATGTGCTCCACCTTGTTTGGAATGAAAGCCTGCAGTCACATTGGCCTCTTTGTGGATATTCACAGATAAAATCAGACAGACATAATCTGAATAAATTGAGTCATCCCATCTGACTGAGTAATCCTGCTTACTGAAATGTCCTGGAAAGGCCAGGCCATCCTAATGCCTCAAATTAGAACCCCCATTACTGAAAAAGTAGAGTCGCTGGAAATGAGCTTCAAATGACGTGAGGCGAATGGTTCTGCACAAACAAAGCAAACTCATCAGGAACAGGGCTAGTCCCCTGCTGAATGAAACAATATTTTCCTTTTTCCTCATTCTCTGGTGTGGCATTTATTTCCATTTCAGTATATGGCCCATCCTTAACAAGCAGCATCTGATTTTCATTCCTTTTTTTATTTATCACGTTTTAAGATCTAAACTCTCTTTTCTCTTCTCTACAGGAAGCAATGGTGGCAGAGACATGCCGTTATCACATGGTTACTGTGACTAAAGTTTGCTAACTAATCAAGTAATAAATGTCATTTATAACAGGTTTAAGCTCTGTACATTAACCCATAATGCATTAACCTTTTAGTTCAACCAGAAGTGCTTATAGCCAACCAAGCCAAAGAGAAAGAGGCAGTTTGATTTCAACTCGTAAACTTCATTCATGCCTGTAGAAACCACCAAAAAAACATTTCCGACGATGACCATGGAAACTGTGACCATGCAGACAGCTTTGGAAAATGACAGCGGTGATAGCAAGGCTGACGAAACAAGACCAGGAAGGACAGCTCTTTTCTTGAGGAACCAAGGACTGGGTAAAAAAGGACAGAAGAAGTCTCCTGGAGCTCAGGATCCAGGAACCTCTGAGGATGTCAGTACTCCCAGAGTAAAAATGTCCACTCCCCCAGGACAAAGGAGGCCAACATCTAAAGACAAGGAAAATCGTTTCTTTAGACCTGGCAGCCGACCAGATGTAATACGAAGACCAAATGGCGGGATGATGCCTTTCAATCGCACAAAGATAGTGAAAGGAGGGGGAAGAATAGGTCCCTATCCTTTGAAAAAGCCAACAGGACGGTATCCATCTGGGAGGACAAGAGCAAAGAAACCAAGTGTAGGGCCTGGATTAAAGTATCCCACTTCCAAATACAGCAAAATCCCAGTGGTTGTGAATGAGACCAGTCAGGAGACAGGTTCAAAAGAGTCCATAGATGGAAGACAATTTAGAAAGGAAACAGTAAAACATGTAAACAATGGCACTGAACGTTCTTTCTTACAGTACCAGCCAATCATCAGTGGTGCCGAAAAACTCACAGATTCAGTGAGAGAGCCTTTCCAAAATGTCCCTGACTCAACTGAACAGCCGCTAGAGCCAACAATTACAACTGAAAGGAACCTCACAGCCCATATCAATGGGACAAAATGTGTAAGAAAAGTCTTGGTAGGGCACAAGATAATACACTTTAATGGGACATCAAATGGAGAAGGCATAACAAAAAATGTAACAGTCATAGTTGGTCACATCAATGGAAATGACATCTTACATAAGATTATCACAAGCAGGTCTGAGGGCTTTGCTAATGATGTTACACCATTAACTGAAAATGGAGCTAAGCTTCAAGGTGAAAGTGAACAAAAGCCAACTAGGGATATAGAGAGACCGGAAAAGACAAAAGTTCCAGGTGAGGTGGAGGATGAAACTGGTGTAACGAGTGTCACGTTACAGCCAACAAGCTATACACCAGTGACATTTTCAAAGAACTTAATGAGGTTAAGCACACAAGAAGCAGAGGTTGGGATAAGTCCTCCACACAGCTCTACATATTCCACAGCACCAGCCTCACTTCCTCGGGCTACTCCCCAGCCTGTTCTGTTGCCATCTGAAACACAAACCGGACCCTCAAATATAAATCAGTTATTAATAGACAGACACCCTATTAGAGCCTCCATCAAGATGCCACCATCAGCCAGAAACAGATTTCCAACTAGACCAAAATCATCCAGTTCAACCTCAGGAATAAAAAGTGGACCCATTTCTTCTGAAACTCCTTCTGAGATATTTAAAGGAAGACATGCAGTTAGAAATAGTCACTCAGCTCCTTTGTCTCACCCATTAGCACTGGAACAAGAAACCTCAGAAAGAGAGGCAACAGCCTCCCGAGAATCTGAGCCTGATGGACAAGGTTTGCTGAGTGAATCTGTCCAAGGACACAGTGCTGCTCCTTCATTAACCAAGTTACCAGTGACACAGAGCAGCACAGGCATAAGAAGTAAAGGAGGCATGCTTGAGTCGGAGCAGAAAAAGGCAAGAAATGGAACTATACGACCATTTCAACGAACGCCACTAAGAGGTACACCCCCCCGCAAACCTAATACTGGTCCATTCCAAAACCGGACTAGGCCGATTCCAAAGCACCCCTTCAGGGGTCTACCCCTGAAAACAACCCTGCCAAGAGTCCCAAACAGAGACATCACCACTGTTAGGCAACCTATGCCTACTAACCAAGCAGCACGTGAAATCAACAGCAGCAGTCATAATGGCTTGAATCCAAAACGTACACCACCATTCACATTTACAATTAAAAATGATAAAGTCATCAGACTTCCACCAAACCTTCACAGACAAATAAAGCCAAATACCAGCACCGTTCATAATGGCCCACAAGACAGTAAGCATGAAACAAGAGGCAATGTTCGTCTCTTATCACACAAAGATGCAAGCCAAGAACCTCAAACTAGAAGGAAAATTGGACCTGGCATAAGATTCCAACCAAAACGAACTGAAATAAAGCCAAAATCTTCAATTATTCATGGCGATCCAAAAGAGAATAAAGACTCCAAAACTGAAAAAGGCTACAAAGCTGATCTCTTAATGGACAAAGATACAAGAAAAGACTCTAAACTTGGACTCTCAATAGACAAACATACAAGCGAAGAATCTACAATTGGTGTCCCAGTAGACAAAGATGTAAATAAATACTCCAAAGTCACTCAGACAACAGACATGCCTGCAGTTAGAACCTATGATACATTTCAAGGTGTTGCCAGAGATTCAGAAGACAGAACTGAACATATCCTGCCTACAGTTACAAAACAAAATAATATCACAGCTCGACAAACGGTTCCTCGTGACCAAGTGAAACCTGAAACCATCATCAGCAGCAAAAATGGCTCAAATCTAAACCTTAGACCAACATCCACAGTTAGACGGAAGAACATCAGACTTCCACCAAAACATACTCAATTGAAGCCAAAAGCTAAAATTATTCAAGGTGACCCAAAATTGAGTAAAGGATTGAAAGCTGAAAAAGGTTCCAAAGCTGGTCTTTTAGTGGACAGAGATGCTAGCCAAGATCCTAAACTCGGTCTCTCACCAGACAAAGATACCAAAGGCACAAACAACAAAGAATCTGAAGTTGCTCTCCCAACAAACAAAACTCCAGCCAAACTTAAAGGAACATTTTTATTTTCTGAGGGTTCAGATGATGGCATTGATCATGTCGGACTTCAGAATTTAACATCAAAAGGATTTATCATAATCTGGGGAGCACCAAAAGGATTGTTTCAAAACTTCATAATTAGTGTGAGTGAGCGTGGAAGAGGAAGAGCAGGGCAGGCTGAGCAGGAAAATATGGAGGAACAGGGCCACAAACAGGATGAGGGTGATAAAGAGAAAGAGGTGGGTGATGATAGGAACCAGGAAGAGGGAGATGGAAGGAAAGATGAAAAAGAAGGCAGCACGAACAAAGAAAGAACAAACATGCTTGCTGGTGCACCTGATTCCCACACTGTGAGAAGGAACAGCAGTGATGGTGGAACTGTAAAGAAATTCACCAAGGTGCTCCCTGGTTCTGCTCGCTCATACCCAGTCATAGACCTTACCCCACAGACCGGCTACTCAGTGTCCCTTTATGGAAAGGGTCCTGGATTACGTTCCAATATTCACAGCTTCATCATCAGTACAGGTATTCAGAATGGGAAATTACATACTTAAGCCATTTCTTTCATAGCTAGATTTCTTTTGAGGTAGAACTGTGTAACTTTTCATAGATAAGATCCATTGTGATGGTTTGTGTGCCTTAAATCGTATTGGTGCTCAGCTTTTCAACAACGTGTGTTGCTTTTTGTGTCGCTCACTGTTCTTAACCAACAAAGACGTTCAATCAAAGCTATGTATAATATCCAAAGCTTTGATTACAGTTCACACAGTGTGATGTTAATAAGGTATGTCCACGTATAATCTGTGTTTTATGCTAACCCTGTGTTTTTGTCATGTTATTGGTGGCACAAGCTTGAAAAAAACAGGCGTTAATGAATGTTAAGTACTTGCAGAACAAATTAAGTGGACTAATTTCAGCATTCAAACTAACTGGAACCCATTTACCAATCAGAGACAGGATCAAAGCTCAATGCTGTAAGATCATTAGATTTTTCTTTTGAATTGCACTGCAGTTTGCTGAAACTGGCAAAAACAGACTATCCCTAAATTCACCCCTTCACAGGTTGAAGGTAAAGTGTGTTGTTACTGTACAAACGTGGGCAGTGATTCAAATCTTAAACAACATATAATTTATGTGATTTAAATGCTGTACATTTATTCTTTCAAGGTAATAGAATAACACTGTTAACCATCGAAAATAACTGTCATTATGACATTAGCCTGTTTTTTGACACTGTACACCTGTGTGTCAGTTCAGTCAAGTCATGAATGTATAATGCGTAGATGTGTCATGAATATCAGCCTCCAAAACCTAGTTTGATTACCAGTATTGAAGTGTCCATATGTAAAATACTAAGAGGTGATTTACAATACGGTTCAAGATTTTGGAATCATTTTTGTCTATAATATAAAAAGCAATTTTGTTGCTGATAAATGTATAAAATTACTAATGTGCTGCTAAAATTCTATAGGTTTTTAGCCATTTGAGGGAAGCTGATGAACAGAGCTGTAGATGATTGCAAAATGACTGCCAAAGCTGTGTAGCATCAAGAATGATGCTACAGAATTAATATCTAGAATGCCGCATGTTTGAAAAGCAGTGACCAAATCTTGCTAATCAAATAGCTATTCATAAGAATTTTGTGGTAAGAAATGACCATAAATGGATACATTTTTTATCTAATATTATTTGCTTATTATTGGTATTATTGTTATTATTGTTTTTCTTACCATAACTTCTTGTTGTTCCCAAAATATTTTAAATCATAAATATATCATCAGCTTACATTTTGGTGTCTACAACCATTTCAATCTACGCAGTAGATTATTTGTGAAAAACAAGGTTATTTGTGAGTAACAAATAATAACCTGTATCATGTATGTAACATGATAAAGTGTTAAGCTAAAAATAATTTACTCACCTTCCTATAAGGCAAAGGACTTTACCTGTTGACTTCTTAAGACCTCAAAAATGGACACAGCCGTGATAATGATATTCATGAGATACTCTATGAAAAACAGAAAACAAAATAAGACAACTTAAAACCAATAACTGTCATGCTCATCATCATTTATTGCTGGTTTGATCTTCTTTCACCTAGGGTAAACTTACAGTCAGCCATCCTCACTGTCTACTCTCACCATTCACCCAAATTGCGGGTAAGACCAAGGCTGGACCCAAGATATTTGCCTCCAAAATTCTAGAGTAAAGTCCAGATAATATAACCTCAAAGAACGGTCTGGGCAACACAACAAAGGTTGGTTATGTTGTATAGGTGGACCATGTGTACTATGGACCAGCCTTTATTGTTGTTTTAGACACTAACCAAACACCGGGGGTGTCTGAGTAATACAGACATCCCAAATCTGCTGATAATTAAGTAATGATTTCCAAAAATATTTCACTGATATGATGTGATTGGATCTTCACCAAGTTTGTGTTATTTGAAAACCCTTAATTTGAAGCATTTAAGTCAGGTGCTGCCCTCAGTACATGCATGATCCATGTCTACAAGTGTACTTGGAACACACAGGGCCAGTTTCTTTGACCCAACTTAAGCCTAAACCCAGACTAAGAAGAATTCCCAGTGGTGTTGTCACTGCAATTTAGTCCAAGACTAGGCTTAACCCATGTCTGGGAAACTGCCCTCAGTGTAACAAATGTAACACGGCTTTAGAGGATATTCTTCCCTCCAGGTCTAGACTTTCACAATCACTTTTGTATCTTTCAAAATTATAATCGGCAACAACACAATCAGCAAAGCAACCTGCCTGATGCCAAATCCCCCCAGCCTCTCGTCTTTTCCAAGTGAGCTTTTACTGGACAACTTAACTCCTATTCACACACCTTCCTCCTCAGAACCTTCACTTCTGCTTTTATGTTTTTCTTCCTTCCTCCCAGGATCAAAAGACCAGCATCATCACCTCAGCTTGTTTTCTCTCTCACTGCTGTCCAGGATCAGTGTCCACTATTAACACCAATGTTTATGTGGGTCTCAGAACTGTATATGCTGTGTTGTATATACTGTATATATGTTTGGTTTGCACATATATACACACAAGTATGTTATATATGCACACTAATAATAACCAATAGCTTGTATGCCAATAAAAAAGTGATGCAATGAGCATTTTCAGGGAGAATACATGTGAAATAACTCTGGAAATTGAAATGTCTTTGCTCAGTTTTTCTTTTTCTCATATGTCAGTCCTTTTTCCTTTTTATCTTGACTTCCTGCCTTCCTTTTTTATTTCTTTGATTTTTTTTATTTCATGCATATCCATCTTGGAACCAACACTCCCCTTCTCAGCTTTCTCTCACTTCCACTTTAGTTTTCTTTTCTTTCACTGACCCCCCCCCCTTACCCTTTCTTATTTGTTTTTTCCTTTGCTTTATTTCTTTCTTTGTTATCCCGTCTGTCTTTCTGTAGATTTATTTGTGTGTTTCTGACCAACCCACAGGCCCTGAGCCTCCCTCTAACCTCGCCTTCAGTGAGGTGACTGAGAGCTCCCTCACCGTGTCCTGGACCAGACCCAAGAGCCCAGTGTCTGGGTTTAAAGTTACATACACAAACAAACAGGATGGTAAGACTTCACACATACCATTGCTCCTAAATGAATGTTAAAATAAAATCTAATATGCAAATTTTCTTTAGCCCAAATGTAGCTGATCAGCCAAGACACATTTGGAGCCTTAAGTCTGCTTCTTTAGTTGTACACTTGGGCCCAATCCCATTTCTTATTTTTACCCCTACCCCTTGTTTTTGAGTGTCTCCTTGTCCCTTGGAACTGAGTTACAAGGGATAATGGTTGTAATCTTCCCTCTGAAATGAGACCCTCAAATAAAAAGAGCATCACTTCATTAACAGCTACCAGCGCTGCTCTGTAGGCGACCCTGCCAGTCTGCAGTGACAGCAGAGGAGGGTAAAGTTCAGCTCCTCACTGCTGGGCTTTAGTTACATTTAGGGAATTTAGGGAGCCTTCAAAGAACAGAAGAACTACCTCCTTGTTTGAATTTTCCCATTACACCTTAAATGGTCCATTCGTCTGTGCAGCCATCTTGCTAGTTTTGCTTTTTTCCTCATAACACTCTGTTTGGAGTCTGAAAAACCTCCGTTTGGAGGGCGATATAGCCCTAACACTTCACCCTACCCCTCTACCTCAACAAGAATTGGGACACCCTACCCCTAGACAAGAAAAGCAAAACGAAGGCATAAGGGCTAAGTGGTGGGGGCGAGGCATGAAATGGGATTGGGCCTTAATATACAATGGAAGCTTATATACACAATTCAGCATTGTGCAAACTGCATCCCTAAGATCCTGTCCAAATGTTTTTTTACAACTAGGTTTTTGTATTTTTGGCAATTTGGGAGTTGACAAGACGCTTACAACTGTATTTAGCTGTGCTTTTCCTTCACATGGAGGATGGGCGTGTCATGATTATGAAATTTCAGCTGACATTTACATTTAAATAATTGTAAAGCACAACACAACTGATGAACACAGACCCAATTCACATTCTGTTTGTTGAGAACTAAACATGATTGTAAACTTGGTTAGTGACTTGTTCATTAACCAAAGTCAGGTCTGAAGAACAAAAATCCTAAACCATAATTCAAATCAAACTGAAAAGTCTCTGCCTAGCTTGTTTTCACTTTTTTAAGCTTTTATTTTCAGGCAGAAATCATATGTGAGATATCAAATTACGGAGATCTGCCAGCCTCTGTTAAGTCAAAATTTATTTGTAACTGCACTGCTATCACTTTGGAAAATCTCTGCTTCAGCTTCAGGCTCAACATTTTGCACAAACACATACTCACAACGTGTTCCCAAGGCATTTCACATAAAATGTTATCATCACCCCGTCAGGCATGTTCAGTGAGCGCTTTCGAGTGGATGCAGTGTTTGTGTGTGGATAGAGAGACACTGTAGGTGTGAACAAAGTTTGTGGCTATGTTAACATAGATGATGCCTAAATCATCACTCAGTTGCCTCAAACTGTCTCAAGTTGAGAAGTAATCTTAAATTAACTTGATTATGTGGTTTCTGACACTGCATGACATACTGTTATATAGAAGTGGACTACAGAATACCTTTAGAACTGGACAGAAAGCTCATGGCTGCCTGGCGACTATTTGAATTCAAGGTCAAACTGTAAATGAGATTTTCTGCCAAACTATCATTTCAGCTAATAAATATCTCTCCTTAAATTGGGCTTGTTATGAAAGGCTTGTGTCTTCCTAATGCTGAGGTCCTGTGGTTGCAGGAGAGCCTGTTTCTGTGACAGCAGATTCTACAGACTCTAGTCTGGCTCTTTCAAAGCTTTCTCCTGGCTCTTCTTATGAGGTCAGCGTGATATCCGTGCTTGGACTGGACGAGAGTGACTCAATCGGTGACATAGCACTGACACGTAAGGCTGCATTCCCCCACACTGTCTTCAGAAATGATTTTCTAATCAGACAAAGGCAATGGCCTTGGGTAGTGTCCTTTATTCTGCCTCAGCCTTTGTAACACTCATAAATGGATTTGCCCTGGAAATAAAAACAATCTGTAACAGTGATTTCAACAATGATTTTCTAATTTAAACCCCTTAAAACCCCTGGTTTATTACATACTAAGGCTTATTAGTCAGGAACTACAGGGACTTCAATTCAAACTAATAAAACCGTGGGCCCTGGTCATTTAAGGGGTCAACAGATAATTCTGACAACTGATTATTACCTGCTTCCTATTTAATGATTTTCATAGCCATTTTAGAGCACGTTTTTCCCTATTTTCCCTATTATATTCTTGCTTTCAAGTTTGCTTTTTAACAGCATGTTAAACGGCCCCAGTGCTCGTAATAGATCTAGCAGGTGTCGTATCTGGAAAAACACAGCTTTATCATTTCTCTAAGGGGCCCCTGTTGGACGGTGTTCCAGTAAAATTCTGAACTGAGCTTTGGCCAAGAGTCGTTTCATGTGAAAGTTTTTGAGCGTATTGACAGACTGCACAGCTTAACACTGAAGTGTCTAACTCCCCTCGTCTTTTCTGTGCCTCAGTACCTGACCCACCAACTGACCTCAGGGCCATAAATGTCACTGATACGAAGGCCCTGTTGCTATGGAGACCAGCCCTGGCAACCGTCGACCAATACGTCATCGTCTACGGCTCTGAGGAAGGTGAGAGGCATCTCGGAGGCAGGGGTCCACTAGAGCAAACTCCTTAGGGCCTTTTTAAAGATGGTCTGCAACAATACAGCCTTTCACAGAGTGCTTTTCACACAAAGCCAACTAGATCACGAGAAAGGAATGGACTTCCACAAGACGTCCAGGATACACCGTAAAATCAGCGCTTAGAAAAATGCCCTAAAGAAAATGTCCTTTTTGTGGTTAAAAACTACTTTTCCTTCAGCCGTTCAAATTGAGTTACGGCTTTTATAGGCCACACGCTGTTTGGTGTTGTTTGAATTCAAGGCTGTCTGTTAGCTTGAGGAAAAGTTCAGAGAGAAAGTCACTGTGCACTTTAATACAATGCAGTGTTATTTTAATTGTAAACATGTTCAATTTATGCACCCTGGTCTGGACACACAGTCTGGAACCTCAGTCTTCAACAGTCATACAAATCACTGGCAACTCCTTCCAGGATGCTTTAGTGAGCTGTAGGCCTGCTATTTTACCAGCATAATGTTTCTTCACTCAGGACTTTTAAACTGCACCATATTTCTATAAAAAGCAATGGTATAGTAAGGTCACCGGCTTGTGTGTGTCTATCTCTATATTAGTATCTGACACTTGACAGATTTGGTCTGATTAAAACAAACCCTGGTGCGATTGCTCGGTCAGTGTGGTCCATTAGAACAGGTACAAAAACAAATTCTGAATATTTTATTTTGAACCTACGCAAATTTAACGTTTTCTATCTTCAGAAGGGTCAGACTAGTACAAGATATCCAGGATACGCAGAAAATCAGCAGTAAGGAAAATGCATTAAAAAGAGTGGACTTTATCTGTGATGAAAGAACAAGCTGATCTTGATGAAAATAAGTCACATGACTTATGAAAATTACAGATATTTTTACCATTACCATTGCCTCACGCAGAAATAGGGAGCAGTTTAAAAGTCCTGAGTGAAGAAACACATCATTTCAGTACAAAAGCAGGTCTACAGCTCACTAAAGCGTCATGGATGGAGAGGCTGCCAGTGATTTGTACTGTAGATGACTGTGTGTCCAGACTGTGTCCTGACCAGTGTGCATAAAGTGAATGATTTAAAGTATTAAATTGAACAATGACTTTCTCTTCTCTTTCTCTCATTTTTCCACCAAATAAGCAGAGTGAGAGCCAGTGAGGAGGTCAGTCGGTCCAGTATTAAACAAACTCTGGTGCGGTTCGGTTGAATTATGAACACAATACGGACTAAAGACATCTAACCTAACACAGAATGGAACGTTATCTCGTCTTTGCAGACCTTCTTTGATGCCTACAGACACTGTTTTATCATATGCATGTTTTTTTTCCATGGTTTCATAACTCTGAATTGGTAAGTAATAAATCAGATAGTTTAGTTTTAAAATGAGGCAGAGGCCTGTTCGACACTGATATAAATTAATCACATGTTGACCGCAAATGCCAAATATACCATCTAAAAATGTGCTAAGTTTTCACCGTTTTATAAAAGCAGTAGGTCACTTGGGGCCATATATTACAGTGATTTCAGCTTTTTGGAGTTGTGGGAAAACCAGAGTAACACATGGCCTCATGTAGATTATTGCTTTAGAATATCATCACCAAATGTACATCATAAAGTTTTAAATCCATGTGACTTTTGTTAACTTTTGGTTTGATGTCAAATATGTCAGCGTGAACACTAAACATACCAGAACTTAAATGCCACAGTGAATCATTTTCTTCTTTTTTCCCAGACCAAAAGAATAAACTACAGATATGGATCATTTTGCCGAATTGGTTCAAAGTAAGAAGTGAAAACCCATTTCGGGCTTTTAACTGACTTGGATTTTAGACTAAAATCCTTTTGACCCTATACCTTAATTATATTTATTTCATTAAAATAAATGATTAAACTTTCCATCTTGTCACTTTTGAGCAGAACCCAAAAACATTAGCCAGTACATGACTAGCAAACACAGCTTTTGAACAGCTGTTCACATATAAAATCATAAATTTCATTAAAACACACAAAAATGACTTACTTGCAGAAAATATGTGACAGTTCTTATTGTTCCACACAGATTTTCGGACTTTGGGGAACATTTACTGCAAAACAATTGGATATAACTGCTCACCATGTGGCCACGAGGGACAGGGATGGAGTCTCACTTCCTGCTCTAAAATGCAGAGTGGCTAAAATAAGGCTCTGCCTACAAACTAAAACTCTTTGTGTTTCTGTAGTGACTCGAAAATGTGGGACAGCATTTTTTCAATAAATTTTATTTAAAAAATGAACTCAAGATTAATCTTAATCTTACAACTTCACATTAAAAGAAATAAAAAACTCTTCAAAAAAATAAAACATTGAAAAAATTTATCCCAAAAGAAAGTTCCCTAATACCCTACTTTATGTTATATTTATATATAAATATTTGAAGGCTATATATATATATATTTGAAGGCTATATATATATATATATATATATATATATATATATATATATATATATATATATATATATATATATATATATATATATTTAAATATGCACACGCACACACACACACACACACACATATACACGCGTATATATTATTTTACTATGGAATCGTTTGAACTTGTTTGAGCTAATTTGGTAGAACGGTCCATATGAACGGGGTGCATGTAAGTCTCAACTCTGTATTTGTCTCTGAATAATGTTGCTGCATTTCTGTATTAGTCCCTGGGTCTGAGTTGACGATCAAAGTGTCCGGTAACGCAGCGGAGCAGCAGCTGCAGACTCTGAAAGCATCTACAAAATACACAGTCACCATCGTCAGCCAGCTGGGAGACCGCAAGAGCTCAGGAACCACCACCATCTTCACCACTTCCAGCGGTCAGTACTAAAGATTTAATCTGCGTCTTTAAGTCTGCCAGCGCAGTGCTGTAATCCCACCCATCCTGTTGCTGTGTGACAGGCTCTGGGGGAAGAGGGGAGGGGCCTCGCGACCTAACAGCCAGCCAGGTGACCCCACGCACAGCCGTGTTGTCATGGAAACCACCGGCTTCAACAGTGACAAACTACAAGCTGACCTACTTTACAGAGGGCCGGGAGACTCAGGTCAGTCTAGCAGACAAGAAAACAGTGAAAGGGAAGCTAAGACTGAAAGGGAAGCCAAGTTCACCCTGCTGTTTTGTGTTCTTGTGTGCATGGTCATGTGTTTTCCAGTGAGTGTCCAATTGTGTCGGTTTTCTCAAATGGGCAAAAGCACAGCGTCATGACACTAAACCCACTCTTTTCCAAACACTGCAAAAAAGTGTATTGGGCTATGTATATATTCCACAGGTCAGGACCAAAAGACAACCCTGGGCTAGGCCATAAGACAACTCCCTAATGACCTTAATGGAAATCTGTCACTGATCGATCTTGTCCTGATCAATCCCTGACCAGCAAGGCTAAAATCATTCCACCATAGTTAATACCAGTTTTTATTTTTGGAGTTAGATTAAGCCATTGCCTTTGCTGGTCTCAGTATGTGTCGGCAGGCTGAGTTCTTGGAGTAGGAGCGTCACAGAGATAAACCTAACAACACCAGCCTAACCTACTGACAAATGAAAGAGAGCAGCCACCAATACACAAATTATCTATACTAACTACAGATTTACTGCTGTATTTTTGTCGCTACCAACAGGAAGTGATCCTTGACCCTCACGTCACTGAGTACAAGCTGACCGGACTGCACCCCTCATCCACCTACACAGCCCGACTGCAGGGCCAGAGAGGAGGAATCTTCACAGCAGCCATCTCCACAGAGTTCAGCACAGGTACACAACGGCCCAGCTACATGTTTTGGTGTTTGTTGTTTATTAGATGGCGCTGAGCACTATCTAGACTGTAATACTGAGTATATTAGGGGTTTAACAGTGCATGGATTTATTGTGATCTGAAGATCGTGAGTTCACTACATAGACTTTAGAACGCAAGAATTAATTACAACTCAACATAATATTCAGTGAAGCATGCGCTCATTTTTCCAGGCAAAATGAACATCTCAGTCTACACTCATCGAGCGTCTGTAACACGTTGGAGCTTCAGACCTTATCTCCAACCTGGATAGTGTAGGGCTTCACGATGAGACCTAGGCTGATGAAGCACAAAGCACACTGAGCAAATACAAACCAGTGGCATGCACAAAGCATTGGCGGTATTCCAACCAGTTGGTTTATTATACTAGACGAGCACACATGCCAGGTCTCATGGCTTCACTTGTCCGTTCAGACATGAATCAAAAACCAGTTCCAAAGCCCCATAACCGCATTACTCACAGAATCATGAAATGAAATTCAGAATCAAAAGTATGATCCAGTGGTCTGTCATGTTACAGCACAACTTTCTCTCTCTTACTACTGTGCAGCAGAGCTACATGCCTGTGCACACGACTTGGGCACATCTTAAATAGACAGTACACGTTTTACTGGCCGTTACACACTTTATAAGGAACACTAATACAGCTAATACTGGGTAGAGCCTCTCTGTGCTCCCAATTCTTTGTGGCATGGATTCCACAAGCTGTTTCAAAACATTCCTTTGAGATTTCGGTCCATGTTGACATGATTGCACCATGCAATTCGATTTTTCGGGTGCAATTTTCATCTCGTTCTACCACATCCCAAAGGTGATCTACTGGATTCAGATCCAGTGACTGGAAAGGCCACTGAAGAACACTGAACTCATTGACATGTTAATGAAATCAGTTTTTGCTTTTGCAACAATTTTGCTTTGTGACATGGTGCATTATCTGGCTGGAAGAAGCCATTAGAAGATGGTAAACTGTGGCCATGAAGGGATGGACATGGTCAGCAACAATATTCAAATAGGCTGCGGCATTCAAGCGATGATTGATTCGTATTAACGAACCCAAAGTGTGCCAGGAAAACATTCCTCACCCCATTACACCACCTCCACCAGCCTGGACTGCTGACACAAGGTAGGTTGGGCCCAAGGATTCATGCTGTTGGGGCCAAATTCTGACCCTACCATCGGTGTGCCTCAGAAGAAATTGAGATTCATCAGAGCAGGCTACGTTTTTCCAGTCTTCTAGCCCAGTGTTGGTGAGCCTGTGCCCACTGCAGCCTCAGCTTTCTGTTCTTGGCTGACAGAGGTAGAACCCAATGTGGTTTTCTGCAGTTGTAGCCCATAAGCCTTAAGGTTTGATGTGTTGTGCATTTTGAGATGCTTTTCTGCTCCCACTATCATACAAAGTGTTTATCGGGGCTACTGTAGCCTTTCTGTCAGAGGAACTAGTCTGGCCATTCCCTGTTGACCTCTCTCATCAACAAGCCGTTTCCATCCACAGAGCTGCTGCTCACTGGATTAGATAATTCCATGAGTGAGCAGGCGTATAGGTATTCCTAATACAGTGCTTGTCTTCACTACTCTGTAAACAGTTCCTCCAGTCACAAATAGTATATATATATATTTACAAGTAAATACCTATCTAATGACTATCCTAATACTGTGTATAATTTTTGTCCAAAACAAATTTCCCGTATGGGGACAAATAAAGCAATCTTTTCCCGTCCTATTCCACAAAACTCAGCCAGCTCTTACCAGCAGTATTTCTTCTCAGAGTAGGCTCCCGTTCCTTTTGCAGCCAATTGACGGTAAAATGTATGGCAGACTGTTCAGTAGGTGTATTTAATAAAGTGTCCACCGAGTATTCTTGGACATTTATTATGGCCATGGTGGAATATTCCCATTTCAAATACAGGCATGTTTTATTACACTGTGGGCCAGTTTCCCAGACCCAGAGTACGCCTAAGACTAGACTAAAAATGAATATCCAAGAGCTATTCACCATTGCAACTGCAATATAGTCTAAGACTAGGCTTGACACATATCCAAGCTCTTCATCTAAACCCTGTTCTAAACAGGGCTCCCACTCTTTTTAGGAAATCATTTTCCAGGACAAATATAAGGACAATTTCCACAATTTGTATATACACCAAAGCTGTTGCTCACTATCATCTTAAACATCAACATCATCTTAAAGTGATGGCATCCTTAACATTAAAGTGGAGCTACAATTAGTCGACAAACCACACTGATCATGAAAAAAACTGTCCGATGCGAATACTTTGTCTGCATTTATTTTAAAAAAGTGCTTTATAATATTTATATGTGTCCTATAATGTTCCAATTCCAAACATCTCACTTTAGGAGAGCAATATGGCTTCATTTGTGGCACACACAGAATGGTGGCACAAGGAGATAAACTCCTTTTGAAGCAACGAGAAGTGAAGGTAGCATTTCACAGCAGCACAATGCACAAACAAAACTGAAGCACCTACGTACCAACACCTGTTCTGCTCCCGCTGGCAGTGAGTGAGTGCCTGTAACTAGAATGAGTGGCTAATGTCAGCTCAATAAAGGTAACAGCAGACCACATGCTGGAAAACAGAACGCCTACTGGAAGAGAGAAACAACAAGGCACCAGTAGCCTAATCTTCATCACGAACAGCAGAGTTTGACACCATATCGAAAATAACTCGTTTTACACAAAACTGATGACAGTGAAGATTTGGGAGGAAAGTAGTTTAAATCAGATGACATGCAGTGTACTATAATCTTTACTGTCCCCGATGTTTAATACGGTAACTTCATTTCCATACTGACAGAAAAACCCACGGGGCGAGCAGAGAGATCTGGCATGGCAGAATGAAAAAGTGCAAGTGGACATGTACTGTGCGGCTTAATGGCCCAACTTTACACTTTCCAGGACTTCACTAACATTTCCATGTTTGAAAACTAGTCCATATGTTTCCAAGCTTTCCAGAACATATGGAAACCCTGGTTAAAGCACTTAAATGGGTGCAGTTGAAACATAATTAATATTCAAAATAAAAAAGCTCTATTTCTGTTTCTTCTCTCCTCCTCTCAGGTTCCCTGCGGTTCCCATTCCCCTCTGATTGCTCTCAGCAGCTGCAGAATGGGATGCGAGAGTCGGGTGCGATGAAGATTTTCCCAGGAGGAAAAGAGGGCAAACCGGTCAGAGTTTACTGCGATATGGAGACTGATGGAGGAGGCTGGACGGTAAGAGGGCGGAGTCTTTCTGGCTGTCACTCCACTAACTCCTCTCACCAAGCTATCTCTCTGTGTTTCCCAGCTCCAGTTCTAGAGGCCCATCATTAGCTACTTCTCATTATCACAGGTTTGCTTTCACACACAAGAATTCCAACCATGGATCGATTGCGCAATTCCATACATCCCTTTTTGGTGTTAAGGCTTGCAAAATGGTATGCAGCACCTTTATCCGTTTGCTGGTTTTTATTACTTTCCTTGGAAACAGTTTTACAAAGTTCCAAACACTCAAGCAGTAAAGAACAGCACTTTTTGTCCACGCCCTTTCCCACCATCATGAAACTTGAAAAGGGAGGTGATGCAATAAATCGAAACAGTCATGTTACAAAATGAACCACGTAGCCCCACACGTGGCATCGGGAGTGGATAGATTCTACACTCACAGAGGACCCCACCAGAGTTTGCTGGAAATGAACACCCAGACCGCCGATTTCAGGAGGACCAGAGATCGGTACTCTGGACCACTCCCCTCAATAAACACTCTACAATGCTTGTCTTCTGCGCGCCTTGAAGGATGGCGGGTCAAGCCAAGCTGTACTCGAAGCTCGAAGGGCTCGTGGTACAGTTCGAGATTTGACCATTGCCATCAAGTAGGGAGGGGCTGGTCCACACATATTACATACATATTACATACTGCACTGCCACTTTGTTTATACATCCATAACCACTGCATATTGCACCACAATGTACTGCACATTAATATTTTACAGTTGTTTTAGAATATTTTACTATATATCTTTACTTCTTCTATTTATGCATCTGTATAATAGCACCTGGCTCTACTTTTGCCCTTTTCTCTGGGATTAATCAAAGTCATCCATCCATCCATCCATCCATCCATCAGCATTCACACTTCACCAAATGTACTGAACTCGCAAAGCAAGCGGTCCTGAGTCTGGAAAAAGCTCTAGTGTGAAGTAAATTGACTTAACAGCAGAAAATAAACTGCTTTTTATCAAAACCTTTACCAGGTCATTCTAATATGAAGATCAGCTGTCTAGAGATTTCAAAGGTTAATCCTGTGTTTGTGTGTGTGTACCAGGTCTTCCAGAGAAGAAAAGATGGCAAAACAGACTTCTTCAGGGGCTGGCAAGACTACAGTAAGGGCTTTGGAGAGCTGGATGGAGAGTTTTGGCTCGGTGAGGAAACCATCCGTCACAATGAAACTGTTTAGAGTTCATCTGCACTGCACAGCCCAAATATAAGCAAACAGAAGCCTGATACCTCTTAAACATAAGCACCATTTAAACACCCCAAAGTGTCATCACAGAAGAAGGGATGCCAAAAATCTGACTTGGCGTAACTTTACTTCAAAACCCTGTCAATTAAAGCCCCAAATAGGAATCAAATCCTGTTTGAAACAGTGCAGCAGCACTGACACAGAGCCTGCTACTATGCTTACAGCATACTAAACAGGAGAGGGAATCACTGGAGGCAGCATGATACAATATTATATTGACTACATCCTGATGTACCACAGTACAATTATATAGGGAATTTTAATGAAAAAGAATGAGATTAACAGTATAAGCTCTACTAGGTACAACAAAGTTTTTGGAGGCATAGTCATAACTTTAAATTCAAAAGTAATGGTAACACTTTATTTGGAGTGGTCCTTTGTAGACTATTAATAAACTCGTAGCAGATTATCCGTAACACATACAACATATCAGTGAAGAAGCAGTAGTGAAGCATCTGAATACACTGAAGTAAATATTCTGTAGTGCATCTCAGGGTGAAACGGGCAAATAAGCATAGAAAATGGCTTGACTTTGCCCGCAGGCCTAGTGTTTGACACATGGGATTTAGAGAGATGACAAAAGCATTATCTCCCATACAACCCCCATCCAGAAGCCTCAAACACACTAATATCTGCCTGGTATGCAGTAGAAAAAGAAAATCATAATAATAATCATTCCTTTTTTGTATTTTTTGTCACAATTAGAAAAAAGGTAGACATTTTCAAACAATACCCAGCCCTAGAGGTACTGTTAATATGCTACTTCCATTACCCAAAACCTAACCCTCACCTTATCCTACCTTAACCTCAAATCTAATCCTAACCCTCACTCTGGCCCTAATCCTAACCTTAACCTTAATCTAAACCCAAAACCTAATCCTAACCCTCACCCTGGCCCTTATCATAACCTTAACCTCAACCCCAAACCTAATCCTAACCCGCACTCTGGCACTAATCCTAACCCTAACCTTAACCTCAACCCAAAACCTAATCCTAACCCTCACCCAATCCTAACCTTAATCTCAACCCAAAACCTAACCCTAACCCTCACCCTGGCGCTAATCCTAACCCTCATATGTTTTTGACATGTTACTCAGAGTCTGTTGAGTGTTTGCTTCATCTAAAGGGAAACACCCAAAATAAAGTGTCACCAAAGCAATAAACCACAATATGTTGCAGTATATTATCATAATCCTTAGCATATCACAGGTCCTTAAAATTTGCTTCTTCATCAGGATATGATTAAATATCCAGTAACTATTAGTAACTTATTACTATACATACTGGTCGTCTTCAATCAACAAAACTGCTAACTGTAGACAAAGCGTATGCTTACATATTTAACAGGTGCTCTGATCCAAAGTGATAAGTGAAATGCAGCTTTATGAGTCTCATGGAAGGGCTGACAGACCTCATTCTCACCAGACGCATCTTATGAACCAGTAAAACAATCATTTTTGCTATCAAATTAGAACTGAACTTTTTACAACTAGCAATAGGTATTAAACAATAAAACACCAACACTTCAGTCAATGCTATTTTCACCCATGCTTTTCCAACAGGACTTGAGAGTATATATATTCACACATATATATATATATATATATATATATATATATATATATAGAGAGAGAGAGAGAGAGAGAGAGAGAGCATATATACTGAGTTCTTGCAAGTTGCTTAAAAACCTTGGGAGGAGGCATTATTATAAACAATAATTTCTACATTTAAATGTTATGTTTTGGAAATATGAATATATAAGCAACTTTAATAATTTTAATGCCTTAAAAACAAATTCAACCATTTAAACATAAGATTTCAGATCAAAATGTCATTTACGTTTGTCATTTACAATGTCACTTAAATTCAGTACGGTACACTCAGTTAGATGAGTCTAAACTTTTGACTGGTACTGTAAATTTACTGTGGTGTCCTGAAGTCGTTATGAAGCTCTCCTCATTAGGGCTTCAAATCTTGGCCAAAATGATGACTGCAGCTTTGGCTGAGACAAACAGAACACACACTGGGAAAAACATGGACTTTGGTATATTGCCCATTATTGTTACCCTATGAATTAAGTCGTGAGGGAAGTCGTAAAGCTGTGGCCTTTGGATCCCCCTAGTGGACAAAAATAATCCACAAACTGACCAAGACATGAAAACGTGCCATCAGTAATCGTATCTCTCTCTCTTTTTTTTCCTCTTTTCTTTTAGGAAATGAGCTGCTCCACAATCTGACCATGGTGACCCCAATGACTCTGAGAGTGGACCTGAGGTCAGGAGATGAATCTGTCTATGCGCTCTACTCCACTTTCTCAGTGGACTCGATGAAAAAACGCTACATGATCCGAGTGTCTGGCTATTCAGGCACAGCAGGTGAGTTTAGTTAATCCACACAAACCATGTTATTATTCTACTCTTGTAAGTGTGACTCATTTAATCTTAATTAATCAGTCTTAATTAAACTACTCGCCTTTTATTATACAATCATTATTATTACTGGTAGTTCTATTATTATTTTTAATATATTTACCTGTATTATAAACACCATCATTATCATTAAATCTACAGGTGATTCTCTGACGTACCATGATAGACGGCCGTTCTCCACGCGGGATCGTGACCCCCAGCCCTTCATCACCCGCTGTGCCATGTCCTACAGGGGTGGCTGGTGGTACAAGAACTGCCACGAAGCCAACCTAAACGGCCTCTACAACACTCACACTAACCACCAGGTACAGCATGAACCGCACACACCAACTGCTAGACGTGATCTAAGACACACACATAACAATCGTCAAGTTCAATCCAACATACATGCACAAACTATAATAGATAATAGCACAACATATAGTATTATATTGAATTGAATTGCAGTGCATTGTTATAGCTTTCAATACAGCTTATTTTAGTCGTTACACCCCTACTTAGAATGGCTAACAAGATACATACATACATACATACATACATACATATATATTATATATAGATATGTATGTATCACAGACAGATGAGTGTACTGTGTTATCTGTGAACAGAGCAAAACATCACAAACATTGAAAAACTGCTGAAAAAGGTTCAACACTGATGCGTAGCTAAAACTCCACAAAGTAGGCGCTGTATGTGATGGAGTTTGAAGGTCTGCTTTAGGCCAGAGCTCAAAACATTAAAAGCAGTAAACAAACCATGTAAAGGTCAAATTACACACACATCCTCTACAGCAAGATTTATATTTTATGTTTCATTTTTTCCAAGCAAATAAATAGAAGTTCTGCACTAAAATTTGCTTAAAAAATGCCATAAATTTGACCAGTGTTTTTGGACTTTAACCCAATTATCTCCCCAATTTAGTCGTCACCAATTCCACCCATTAGTTAGGACTCCCCCTAATCACACGATACTACCAACGCTAACACAGGCTTCCTCCGAGACCTGTGAAACAAGCCACTGCTTCTTTTCGAACTGCAGCTCACGCAACGTCACTGGACAGCTGAAGGCGCTCGGAGGAAAGCGCCAACCCGCCAGATCTGTTACGTCAGCTAACAGACGCCTGCGCTGACTAGCATCATGTTGAGTGATGGGGGGGAGAAAGGGGGGCCATCCTACCCACCCAGAGAGAGCGAGGCCAATTGTGCTCTCCTGGACTCCCGGCTACGGACGGCTGTAGTATCACCAGGGATCGAACTCGTGATCTCCTGATGACAGGGCCAACACTTAGACGCTTGCGCCACTTGGGAGTCCTTCAATCTGACCAGAGTTTTGCATAAATATGCAACTTTTGCATTTGATAAAAAATACGTAACTGTAAAATACCTGTGGTTTTAAACAACGAAAGTATCTATATTTATTGATCATTTTGACCAATTTTTCAAAATTGCTTTGTCCCAGTCCTAGACATTTATGCAAACTGTGTGTGTGTGTGTTTAGGGTGTAATTTGGACCACATGGAAGGGAAAGGACTTCTCCATTCCTTTCACTGAGATGAAGTTCCGCCCAGCCTCATTCAACCCCCGAACACAAGGATAGACAGAACGAGAAGATGGAGACAGAGAAGAACAAGCACATATAAACACACAAATTCACACACACATTCGTACAAATATGTACAGTACAAACATGCACACTCATTGATAAGCATTGTAACCAACCACATCTTGTAAATCTTTTACCCGATGCACGGGACACACACACACACACACACACACACACGGTTCTCATTCAGCATAAAGGACATTTATCAGTATATTATATTGTACAGTTTTCTGGATTCTCTGTATGTAATGTTTCTCTGTACTCTGTGCAGTTGTGGTATGTATGAATATTATGCACTGTCTGCCCTCACTATGAAGCTAGGCCACAACTGAGCATGTGTGCTCCAGACATATATATATATATATATATATATATATGTACTCGACCTGTATTTGTGCATTCTGGTGTTCTATTATGTTTCTGTTTGTGTGTTACGTTTTCTGTCGCTCGGATGTTGCACAGTCCAAATAAACAAAATGGTGGGAGTCAGCATGAGCAGGTCTAATCCTGACAGCACAAAAAATCCACCTTCCTGAACACACCTGAGTGATGTTTAAGCAATAAAACAAGATGCCGTTACTGCAAATACAGCCATTACTTATATACATAACACATGACCTCCAGTTTGGGCCAGTCATATAAATAATTGCGATTAATGCTTTGAATTGTCTTTTCTTTAACATGCATCCATGAAAGCATAAGCCGAAAAACAACCAAACTGGCTTATAAGCCATGTAGTAGTACCTATATTTACTATGTACACTACAAGGACAAAAGTATTGGGACACCTACACATCACACCCACAGGAGCTTTTATGAATCCCATTCTAAATCCATAGGCATTGATATGGAGCTGGTCCCCCTTTGCAGCTCTAACAGCTTCCACTCTTCTGGGAAGCTTCCTACAAGATGTTGGAGAGAGGTCCTGGCTCACAATCTCCGTTCTAGTTCATCCCAAAGGTGTTTGATGGGGTTGAGGTCAGGGCTCTGTGAGGGCCAGTCAAGTTCTTCCACACCAAACTCACCCAGTCAGGCCTTTATGGAGCTGCTCTGTGCACTGGGGCTCAGTCATGCTGGAACAGGAAAGGTTCTTCCACAAACTGTTCCCACAAATGTCTTGGTGCTGAAGCATTAAGATTTCCCTTCACTGGAACTAAGGGTTCTAGCCCAACCCCTGAAAACAACCCCATATCTTCATCCCTCCTCCACCAAACTTTACAGCTGGCACAGTGCAGTCAGGCAGGTAACGTTCTCCTGGCATTCAAACCCAGACTCGTCCATCAGACTGACAGATAGAGAAGCTGATTCATCACTCCAGAGTCCAGTGGCGGCGCTTTACTCTAATCAGGAGGTGTGTCCCAATACTTTTGTCTATATAGTGTAGCTAACACTTGTAGTACAGTTGAACTGGTACATTACATTGTTGACTGCATGCATATATTCGCACAGACGTCTCAGATACGCAGAATCATGTGAAGAGTTTAGCAAAGTTAAATATTTTTAGATTTAAAATATACACAAAAACTCTCACTCTGCTAGAATTAGCTCCACAGCCAACAAATACAGATATTATTGCTGCCTTCTAAACATGTTAGAGCACCAAGTTGGTAACTTCTTTTTGTTTTCATAAGCCTCATGATGTGTCAATGAATGCATTTACGTCCTTCTTTATTTGTGTTTATTCGCCTCAATGCACCACTCTCAGTTCACATTATGTTTGTTGCAGCTTAAAATTATTACAAAATCTAATGTGGAAAATGTTAAAAGTCAGGTTAAATGACTGCAATCGTCTCAAATAACTGCGATCATCTCAAATTATTGCAATTAGGCGATTATGTAACAATTGTGACAGGCCTACCTCCAGTGGTCTACTGCTTTTACACACAAAGAAAAACGTAGAGCAGAAAAACCCTGAAAACTATATCAAATGTGTTTTCATTTTTCCTTTCTCCACAAAAAATAGTACTCTTTTGCATTAAGGATAGATCCATAAAACTCTTGCAATATCAGGTACAGCTCAGCTTTTTCACCATTTTCCAGATGAACCTGAATGCCGCTCTTGTTCAAGCCCGTCAGTAAAACCCTTCACAGTCCTCCTTGCTCTGTTTCTAGTTAATGACAGGTTCAGAATTTGATATAGGCCTACTGTCACTTTTGTCTTCAGAATCTGACCAAACAGGCTACACGTTAAACATTACCTTATAGAATTTATTTAATGCATCTACTTTCTGTTTGTATATGCTGAAGTGTAGATTTACTAATGGTTAGCTGCAGTGCAAAGTGTGACGTTACTCAGCAACTGGTGTTCAGTGGAATGATAGTTATTGTGAAAAATTTTTTTTTTTTTTTATAACAGCACAGGCAAAATGCTTCTCAACCAATCAGAGTGTGTTGTCTTAAGTACCTGTTGTACAGAGTTGGTTGATTATCAATCTCTTCATGAGCTGAATCTTTAGTGTCAGAGACGGAGAATCAAAACCTATGTGGTACAACAGCCTCCAGGACTGGAGCTGGACAACTATTGCATTTTCATGCACTTTAAATATGGAATCACTTTGTCTGAAACAGAGTATGTCAGTAGGATGTCGGTATTTCACCCCACATTTTTGCGAGATGTTTGGAATGACATCTGACTGCAGGTCTGCAGACCAACCCCAGAGTGAGGCAGGCTTCGGCTTGGCTGGAAGTTAGCCGACTGGTTAGCAAGCTATCAGAGTTAGCTAGGAACTAACTTTGTTAGGTTCAAGTTTGTTGCACTTTTTCAGAGAAGACATGCTGGATACATGATTTAAAAAGTTGTATAAAATTACCCTTTCTGTGTGTTAGCAACCTTTTTCTTCTGGAGAAGCAGTTTACACTAGCTAACACTGTTTAAGGAGTAACAGATTATAACCAAACCAGTAAGACTTTTATTTTGAAGGAGCAACTTACACTGACAATACAGCTGAGGAACTAACTTGCCACAGTGCAGTGGTGGGGCTATGATACAGGCCAGTGAGCCTAGGCCCATCATTTTTATAATTGGCTCACCCAAAATGTCCACTCAAGTTTACTTTAATATAAAATCACAGCTTAAAAGGCATCCGCTAAATATGTGACATTCTTGAAATTGCATTTTTGAGAAGCACACAACATAGGATTACGTAACATACAGTTATCCAAGTGTTAACATGGCACAATCATCAACAAGCTCATTACCGCTGAAGGCATAAATGCCAGAAATCCCCCGCATATGCTTGTAAGTGCATTTTCTGTGCATTGTGGTTTTCTCTTTGACTGTGCAGACTAACAGAAATGCTATAGTGATGACAGATATTCAAGTTAAAACATGGTAATATATTGAAGTATTTTAGACAAACATATGTATGTCTGTATGTCAGTACAATTATTTTAGAGCCTTGGCAGTTTTGGTCTGTAAAATCTTTCATTTTTCACATATGCCAACACTTCAACACTTGAAAGCTAGTTGGCTAACATTCACTCAAACTGTAGCTTCTTCTCTCCAAAGGGGAAATGGTTGATTATAGAGACTCTATAGAGACTATAGAGATTATAGAGATTTCTTTTCAGTGGTGGTGATAGGAACCAGGGGTCGGCATGACTACAACCCAAATATAGACATTTTATTTACAACAGTATATATATATATATACTTAAGGATGGTAATATGGTAGTAAATCTGAAAATATAAGTTTTCTTTGGGAACTATTTTGGCTCACAACTCCTGGCATGTACCCCTCCACCATGAACAATATAAAGTAATATTATCTAGACCAAAAGCTTATCCTAATACTACTGTAAACAATGTTTTGTGCATCAGTCAATGTAACTGCATTCAACACTTAAGACATTGTAAGTTTTCACTGCTTAAATCTCTTCAGGGAAATGTTCAGCTAAATTTATAATTTCATAAATGTAAATTGAATTTTACACGCTACGTTTAAGTGTCAGCGCTTCAGTTTTTGACATTTGCAAATTTTTACTTTAAATGTAGAGCTTAAAATGTATTCCTTAATTATTAAACTTTAAACAAATACTTACGTACAGTCACTGGTCTGCGGGGCTGAAGCTGGACCCTGGTGGATATCTTGCGTCCTCTGTGGGACCATGCAACAAGGTACTTTACTTGACACCAAGTATTATATGGTTTAAAAACCACAGCTCACAACGACAACAAAGACTGGACAGAAGTATATTAAAAAGCACAAACAGAAGCAAGTGCTGAACTGGGTTTAGGATCCACCCCAGCAGATCCTAAAACACAGCTATCACTAGCTAGCTCACTCTGGGTTAGTTAACATTAACGTTCGCAAAGTTAGCTGCTACCAAACAAAGATAAAATAAGGTTGAATCACTTACCCCTTGTATTATCCTGAGTTTAGCACTCTGCTCCACACACCTAAAAGAGGAATAAAGTATTACCATCAGTGTTAAAAGCACTAAGTTAGCTGGTTTGTGTTAGCAAAGCTGGCCTGACACAATCAGCTAGCGCTGCTAAATCACGACCGATTAGCACGAAACTGCCAGTTCATTATAAAAATATTCAAACAGTTCACATCATTACGTCTACAAATTTATACAAGGATAAAATCAAGAATAACAACAAAAACTTAACCATTTTCCTCATTTACAGCGGCTAAAATGGCCGCTTAATCCGCTGCGCGTCCGTTGGAGAGGGACTGGAATTTTCCGTTGAGTTTTGAATTTTAAACGAGTGTGCGCGTGCGCGCGGCAGCAGCGGAGCGCGGTAATGGCGGGACGGAGCTCTAATAGGATAAACCTTACAAACTCTGCTCAGAAAAGACTTATTATAATGCATTTTAATGATGGACTAACAAGCAGTCTGGCCATTAGCCTTAACCCGGTCCAAAATATTAGAAATAATTAATGAAAATGGAAAAGAATTCAGATAGAGCATGTCATTCTTAAAGTGCAAGACGAACATTCACTAATCCACACCATAGATACGCCACATACAGTCAATCCCTGCTGAAAAAAGACCAAT